TGTTGACGCGATCGTGCGTGCGTTGCTAGGGGCAACTCCTGTCAGCGTTTCGCGCATGCGCAATTGGGTGCTTTGCCCCACGGCGGGCGGCAAAACTAACTAAATAACTAAATAAAAATCGCCAAAAAACGCAATTTTTTTTTATATTTTGAAGGTGAGTGACGGGAACACGGCATAGCGCTTGCCCACCGCGTGGCTTACGGCGTGCTGCCTGGCAATTGTTTTTCGATATAAACCACCACCGTTTGAGAGCCAAAATCCCTCGCAAGCGCGCGTGCGCAGACAGACAGACGGACAGACATACGGACAGACAAAAGATGCCTTTTTGTAGGTTAGATTGCCAGAAGGGCTACAACCTATTCTTATTGTTCCTTCACACAGGTAACTGTTGGGAATGTGATCCTCCGTACTAGTGTAGCACCCTCCCACGGGGTGCTATCCCGTGCATTTGTCTGCAAATATTCCAAAGACAAAGGTCATCCGTATAGCCTTCACAGACTGTTGGGGCAAGTGCTGTGAGCGAGCACCTATGAAGGCAGGCACGGCACTCGAGGGGGTGGGTGGCCAGCACCACGCCCGGCCGCTATAGTCTCCCCAGTGGCAATATTCGCACACTGCACCAGGTATTCATTTGAGGCTGAGTCGCCCTAGGGGAGGCCCGGGTCCAGCTCAGATAATCGTCACTGGTGTTGGCCGTGAGCGGGAAGCGAACTCGGATTCGTAGCGCAGCCCGCTAACCGCTGCACAACCGCTCCCCTCACACAGCCCCATCGCATGCAGCACGCATCCTACTTGGGTGTTCACCAATCAACGGTAAAGGCGCAGCCCTGCAATTTCTCATTGGTGCCACTGCTGACGGAAGGTGTCGCCACCGGAGGGAGCTCTCTCGCGGGGAGCTCTGGAGAGGCTCCCTTTAGAATCTCGACGCCACCAGGGGCCGCCTCTGGAACCTAGAGGGAGCGGGTAAAGATGGCCAAATACCTTCCAGAGCAGTGGTTTTCACAATTCACTTTCGCCGACGAGACATCATCAGCGTGAGGGCGGACACACATTTCAAACCGTTGGGATTTGACAGTAGCACGATGATGATCTCGTCGTGTGTTGTCAGGAGGCCGCACGTCGAGAGCCGCACTAAAGGCCACCAGGGGCCGCCAGCAGGCCACGGGCCTTGGCAATGAAGACCACTCCTCTAGACTTTAGCGGTCACGTGTGCGTGGAGATGCTCATACCTTTAATGTCCAGAAGCAGATTCATATGCTTTTTGTGCGTACGTCACACAATGTCCCAGCTAATTACATCGGCCCAAATGGTTAAAGAAAGGCTCCTGACCTCGCGCGCATTATCATCTTATCTGTGAGTCCTAGGACCTGCAGGGATGCCCATCAAACCCACCGTTTAACCGGGCGATGGTGGCTTCGTAATCCAGCACTCTTGAGGCTCGGGATGGTTGAATCGCGCAAATATTTGTAAAACTTCCTTCTCGTGGGAGTCCACGTGCCGTGCCCTGGCTTAACAGGCAAGTGCGATACAGCAACGTGCAGACTAATACCGCGTCCCTTCTGTATGGGATAGAGTGTTGTACCCTAGCACGTGTGGGTTCTCTCCGGGCGCTCCCATTTCCTACCAAATGTATAAAACACTCAATAATTGCCTGAAATCACCTCGATATGCGGAGGACCGCAGAGCTTGGGAAATTGTTGACGCTGATTCATCGCCTTGCTGGCTGACAGCGATTGTGCATTTTCACGATGGGTGACGCTAATAAAACACGATAAACTATTGTCATTTTACCAGGTAAGGGCCACTGAGCTGTATATCTCTTTTTCAGAAGCGACCTGACCGCAAATTATAGTTCAACGAAGTGACATCTTGAGGAAATGTAGAGCAGCCAAATACTCTAAAAGCATGTTTCTAAGTTTGGAAAGGAAAAAAACCGAAGGAGCAGGAGAAAAATCCACGCCACACGGGGAGAGAGACATGCAAACTTCACGGGGTTGGGATCAAACCCACGACCTTTCTGCATATCAGGCGATGGAGATAATATCTCGCCACCACGGCGCCCCTAAAATTGTTATTAATATGATAAAACCTGTGAACCTTCAATGACTTGCATACAAGGTGCGTGATAGATGTCAAAAATGCAGTTGATGCTGGATATAAGCACACCTTAAATAAGCACAGTTTTGATATAAACAACACGCGCTTCCATCACCCTGGTGGTGCGAAGTCAAAGGGCAACTTCTGATACAAGTGCAGTGGAACACAATCCTTATGTATAAAGGAATTGAGAGGCTATATGATCAAGGAAGATGACGCCACAACGGGGACCTGCAAGGATGAGACCTCCGACTTGTGGTGCTGAATGTGAACGTTATCAGCACCACTGAGTGGACAGAGCCCCGCTCCGATAGCTCGTGGATGTGAGGTTGAGAGGGATCGGCGGGCAGCCACGGGGCTGTCAGTTGGGGCAGTTGACGGGCAGCCACGAGGCTGTCAGTTGGGGCAGTTTACGGGCAGCCACGGGGCTGTCAGTTGGGGCAGTTCACGGGCAGCCACGAGGCTGTCAGTTGGGGCAGTTTACGGGCAGCCACGGGGCTGTCAGTTGGGCCAGTTTACGGGCAGCCACGGGGCTGTCAGTTGGGGCAGTTTACGGGCAGCCACGGGGCTGTCAGTTGGGGCAGTGAACGGGCAGCCACGGGGCTGGCAGTTGGGCCAGTTTACGGGCAGCCACGGGGCTGTCAGTTGGGGCAGTTTACGGGCAGCCACGGGGCTGTCAGTTGGGGCAGTTATCTGGCGGCTGCTAGAAATTTCCACGTGACAAGCCACTTCGTTATACTATCATTTGTGGCCAGGTCGCTTCTGAAAAATAACGAATAGCTCAGTGCGCTTTACATGGTAAAGTAAAAAAAATGTTTCGAAAATAGTTGAATGTGCTTCTACACAAACCGTGGAGTTCACTTTTCAAATCAATCAGGGGCTCGGCTTGTCAGAGACTATTGACCCCGATTGGACACAGGGTCGAGGCTTTACATGGTCAGCGTATTGAAAGTTTCAGCACAAAGTACCAATGAATAATCATTTCACGGTGCACGTATCAATGATTTAATTGACCATTTATGTCCAGCTGATTCATTTTCAGAAGATAGATAAAACATTATAAAACATACAGCATATATAATGTACTTCCTTTTGCCAATCAATTACTGAATTTACATCCTCTCCAGGTCCTGTTGGTTGTGGGGGTTGTTTGACCATACTTGACCGTGCTGGTGAGTGTGGGTTGGTGAAATTAAGAGAAAGGGGAGGCTGTAATGACTGATGCCATGGCTGAGAACCGAACTCGGAGTCTCCAGAATCGTCCCGCAGTGTCTGCTAACCACTGCACCACAGCTCTCCCTTGAGCAGGGTACAAGTGGTGTAACGTGGTAAGTAGATCGATGCAATGAAGGATTCAGTCAATGACCATGACAGTTCTGCTGAACTCGCTTATTGGGTAACATAAACAAGGAGAGGCATTTTTTTTATCGAATTCCGAAAGAAAAAAAAACGACCTCAATATTTCAAGATCGACAACGCACTGCGTGGTGAATAAGACTCGGTAGTTGTGCCTGATACATGACGTCACGGTGGACGCAATCCTTGAAGGGCCGCACGCGGTTCCGAAGCCGCAGGTTGCGTTATAAGTGGCTGCGCTTTGAGGTGCTCAGAGCACTGCGAATCGGTGTGGAGGTGTGTCACGAGGGTTTGTGATTTTAAGTCGACATGAGGCTGTCAACATCGGGTGGTCACCAAGGGCAATGCCATTGATGCCACGGTGACTCGGTACCGTCGCAGGAGGCCCACTAAATAGAGCCTAAGAGCTAATCGGGCCCTTCTTGCTGAAATAAACAAAATATATATTCTGGAACATCTTTTTGTAGATGATTAACTTATTCAAAATCTACTTTACATTTGTGTGCAAGCAAAATATAATGCGACACAACTTTCCTTGGGAAACCAAGTGGGGGGAGGGGGGGCGATGGAAAGCAAGTCTATTGTAAAGCACGATTTTAACAAAAATGAACATGTTTATAAACTCCTTAATGTATGTATGCTGAACTTATTTCGCGCCTTACGTAGCCAACCGTGCTAATCGTGGCCAAGCATGGGTGAATTATGTTTTTTTTTTAGATCATTCCCTTTCCCGTGCAGAAAAGTGCGGTGATCAAAGGAACTATAACTGTTTAAACAAGTTTCACTTGTAACCGCGTTGTGTTTGCAGTGGTGGTGTTCTGTGGTGTACCACAATTCTCTCCTGGCAGGGTCTCGTCACTCCAAATCCACTCCGGCCATCCATTCATCACGCGACGGGGAGATGTCGTCTCCCTTGCCTGCGATGCAGGAGGTTGTGCGTTTAATCCCAACCCTGACGATGTCTGTTATTGTACATTTGGAGTTCGCGTGTTCTCTCTCCCCGTGGTGGTCGCGTGGCTTTTAGTCCCGGTCCTCCAGTTTTGCCCTCCACATTTAGAAACGTGCGTTTAGATTGTTTTGGCTGCTGCAATAATTCCCGCGTATGATGATGCTGATGATAAAAGCCGCTTCGAAGAGCTATCATGTGTGGCCAGGTCGCCGCTGAAACATAGCTAATAGCTGTGGGCTTTACCTGGTAAACTTTAACATTTGAGTTTACTTGACACACTGTGTCAATATCAAGCGGCTGAGAGCGAGTGCAGTGTGGTATGCTCCGTACACCGGCCCCGCCTCTGTCAGTCCCAAAATACAAATGGGTGCACCGGTTATGCGGTCAAGGGAGGTGGTCGTGTCGTGGGGTAAAGTGCGGGGACTGCCCCCTGCGCCAAAGAGACCGGGACAGCGCGGCAGGAGGCCATGCACGTGCAACAGCAGCGTGAGCGAGACTTTGGCGGACGCTGCGCCCCCTGTACCTTCGTTAAGTAAGTGGACATTGTGTGCGTGCTGTACCACAAACAAACGAAAACAGCCCAAAGCAACGTTCAAATATATATATATAAAAATGTCTTTATTTTTAGTTTCAAAAATAGCCCCTTTCGGCAATACACCAGAGACGATTTCTGCATAGTATGTGCTGAATTTATACAAAAATATGAAAACCCTGAAATTGTACAAACGTTGTGTTTCTATCACGATTTAAATAATAAGCCCTAGTTTCACGTCTACACATTTAAAATGTGCTCTATAATTTAACAGCTCCTTAGACGAGACCCATAATAATAGTAGTAGTAACGCACAAACCGACCTAAGGAAAGCACCGTGTAACCCAACCGAAAGCCGTGAGAGGTTTGGGTCACCAGACTGCGTGTACAGTGGGACCGGGCACCTACTATCTGGGGACTTTATCGCGTGAAATGCTTCTGGACCACAGAGCTGGCAGTGACACAGCTGACAACGGCTCATTGTTTAAACAAAAATAATAATTACAGAACGTACACAATTTACAAAATATAAATTCTCTTATGTACAAAATAACATACACATCCAAAATAGAGCGCAATCTATCGTAGCATATTACAAAATACCCCTCCCCTCCCCCTGCCATCCATGGACAGCGTTCTAACACGGTACGGTGCGCGTGTCGGTGTGTGTGTCGGTGTGAAACTCTTAGCAAGGACAATGGTGAAGATTGCCAAAGTGGTTCATACGCAGGGCTTCATTTCAGCCGGAGCTGTCCAGCGGCTGAGCTCTGTAGAATCTCTCTCCGCCTTCCCTCCCTCGCTGTCGCCGATGGGGAATGCTCACGAACAACCCCGGGTCAGAGATGAGACCACACGCGGCGGTATGCCGTGACGTTGAACTATGGCCTATGGGCTCAACAACAACAAATTCACGTCACACTTTGGGAATTGCTCGAACGGGCAGACCGACCGTCGTCCTAACTGAGCGTGGAGCATTCAAAGTGCCGTATTATCGATGGACCCATAAGCATTCGCCACGTTCCAAGCCGACACACACGCAGTCGCCCACAGTCGCCCAGTCACCCACAGTCACCCACAGTCGCGCACGCCACGCGCACGACTGTGGACGACTGTGGGACGGCAGCGCGTTGGTTCGATCGCAAAAGAAAGCCACAACTCGCTTCAAATTCTCCAGCACGACCACGCAGACAAGCGTCACGGTGCAGTGTCGCGCTCCTCCGTAGCACTGCGTCACCGTGCTACGGCCGAGGATTGGCTGCCTGCGAGTCACTTCAAGCCCCCTTCGCCACGCCAGGGATGGGTTGGGGGTTGGTGGGGCGGTGCAGGGATGGGTGGGGGGCTAATGTTCATTAAGGCAGCGGCGGCGGTGTCCCACAGCCGGATAGAGGCAGGGGGAGTCCGTGGTCTTGAGTCGAGGAGTACAAATGAGGTCTCGGGGTGGAGGGAATCTCTGAGTGTCGTCTCCAAGGGTCAGTGCAATTTCTCGGATGGGGAGCACGGCTCGCTCCCTCTCTCTCTCTCTCTCCATGCTCAAGTGCCAGACGTGGGCGACGTGAAGCGGCGAGCTTGAAGCAATCCTGCGGAACGAAGGGAGAGAGAGGGGGCGGCACGGTCAATGAGACGCACGGCCCTCCGACTCACTCGCGCGCCACACCGAGTGAACCGAGAGACACGAATGTGTGTTGAACTTAATTCGCACCGTACGCGGCCGGGCGGGTGGGGGGGCGGGGAGCGGGGTGTGGATGGGGAGGATAACAAACGAAACACAAAAAAAGCTGAGAAATTAAGTTTTCCATCCAGGTGATGTAAAAGTGCACAGCTCACAGAAGCATTCCGCGTGAGCGCACGTGAGCACCGCGCGCTGCCGCTGCCTCTGCGCGACTTGTGACCCTGGCATCGGATTCGTCGTTCGCGTGCCCCTATCCGGTTCCTGGACCCCGATTCGTATTCCTATTTACATTCCCTTGGCGTTATTGCATCGAGCAGGCGCCCTGCTTAATTAGTAACGAGCCGCCTCAACGTTTTTTTTGTTGTTGTTGTGAAGAATCCGTTATGAGCGGAATTGGCACGCAAACACAGGTGTCTAAAATATTGCTTAATTAGAACTCTGACGTGAGCACATCACCAAACTCATTGCAGTTGATCATTCTCCACCGAGCGTGGCCGAGTAATCGACCGAATCTTTGGCAGCGACTGCTGTGGGCCCAACGGTGAACCCGACCGGAGTGACCCCGACGCGAACTCCGCGATGCACGTGGCAACGCAAACCCCGCCTGGAGGAGTGACTCGCACCGAGCCGCACGCAGCCTGCTCGGAGCTGCTACGACGAGCCCCAAGCGGCGAGCCCCGCGGCACTCACCACCGTGGTGGCGCACTAGAACCAGCTGGCGAAGTCGAGCAGCTCCTGCTCCTCGGGGCTCAGCGGCTCGTCCGACGAGGAGGAGGAGGAGGACGAGGAGGACGAGGTCTCGTCCGACAGGGAGCTGCCGCCTGGCGAGCACGACGCCAGAGACGCCGCGCACGATGAGCACGCGGCGGCGGCGCCAGCCCCACCAGCGGACACGGAGCACGCCAAGGAGCACGACGAGGAGCACGACGAGGAGCCGGGCGCGGAGCCGCCGCCGCCGCCGCCGCCGCCGACCCCCATCAGCAGCGTCGCGGGGGAGGCGGCTCGCAGCGAGGGTGCCACGGCCGAGTCGTGCTCGCGGAGCAGCGCCTGCAGGGCCCGGATGTACTCCACGGCGGCGCGCAGCGTCTCCACTTTGCTCACGCGGCGACTCGCGGTGGCGGCGGCGGCGGCGGCTGCGGCGGCGGCGGCGGCGGCGCCCGCGGGCGGCACGCGCTCGCGCAGAGCCGCGAAGCCCATGTTGACGAGGCGCACGCGGTTCCGCTCGCGCTCGTTGCGCCGCGCCACCGCCACGGGCGGAGCGCGGTGCTGCTGCTGCTGCTGGTGGTGGTTGTTGTTATGGTGGTGGTGGTGGTTGTGGTTGTGGTGGTTGTGGTGGTGGTGGTGGTGGTGCGGGACCACACCGCCACCAGCGGCGGCAGCGGCCGCTGTCAGCCCAAGGCGGCGGCGACAGCGCAGCAGCTCCGGGGACGGGGAACGCGGCGGCGGCTGCTGCGGCTGTGGCTGCTGTGGCTGTGGCTGCGGGGACGCCGCCAGCTGCTGCTGCTGCTGCTGCTCTTGCTTGAAGCTGCCGATGCCACCGAGCACGTCGATGGGCGCGGGGCTGCTGAGCTGGCACGCCTTCGGGCCGCCGCCGCCGCCGCCGCCGCCGCACACGAAGAGGCATGCGGCGTGGGGAGAGAAGGGCGCGCGACTCAGGACGGGGCTCATCATGGCTCGCGGAGCGGCTCCTCGCTAGGAGCAGGAGGAGCAGGAGGAGGAGGAGGGAGCGGCGTGTGGCTCGTGCCGCGCGCGTGCGCCTCTTATAAAGGCGGCGGCGGCGACTCCGCGGCGCGCGCCCGTGGCCCGGGGCCGCGCGCGTGCGTGCGCGTGCGACCGCCCCCCCACCCCCAGCCTCTACCCACCACGCTCCTCTATTGACACTCGCCTCTTGTTATGCAAATGAGGCGCGGTCGGGCGCGTGCCGCTGCGGGCGCGGCCCCCCCTCACCCGCCCCCTCCCCAGCCTGGGCTCACCCCTCCCCCTGTTCCTCCTTCCCCTGCACCACCTCCACACTCACCCCCCGTCCCTAAGGCTGCGCGTGTCGGTGTGTGTGTGTCGGTGTGTGTGTCGGTGTGTGTGTGTCGGTGTGTGTGTGTGTCGGTGTGTGTGTGTCGGTGTGTGTGTCGGTGTGTGTGTGTCGGTGTGTGTGTGTCGGTGTGTGTGTGTCGGTGTGTGTGTGTGTCGGTGTGCGTGTCGGTGTGTGTCGGGGTGTGTGTGTGTCGGTTTGTGTGTTGGTGTGTGTGTCGGTGTGTGTGTCGGTGTGTGTGTCGGTGCGCGTGTCGGTGTGTGTGTGTCGGTGTGTGTGTCGGTGTGTGTGTCGGTGTGTGTGTGTGTCGGTGTGTGTGTGTGTCGGTGTGTGTGTGTCGGTGTGTGTGTGTCGGTGTGTGTGTGTCGGTGTGTGCGTGTCGGTGTGTGTGTGGGGAGCGATAGTGTAGCGGTTAGCGCGCTGCGCTATGAACCCGGCGACACGGGTTCGATTCCCGCTCACGGCCAACATCAGTGACGATTATCTGAACCGGTCCCGGGCCTCTCCTAGGTCGACTCAGCCTCAAATGAGTACCTGGTGCGGTGTGTAAACATTGCCACTAGGGAGACAAAGGCGGTCGGGCGTGGTGCTGGCAACCCACCCCCTCGTGTACCGTTCCGTCCTTCATAGGTCCTTTCTAACAGCACTTGCCCCTACAGTCTGTTAAGGCTACACGGGGGATCTTTGTCTTTTGTCTCGGTGAGTGTGTGAGCGCGCGAGCGCGCGCACGCGCGTGGCTACGCGTGTCTGTGTGTCTGTTTTTGTATTGTGTGTGCGTGTGTCTATGTGTGTGTGTGCGTGTGTCTGTGTTTTTGTTATGTGTGTGCGTGTGTGCGTCTGTGTGTGTGTGTCGGTGCGTGTGTCTGTGTGTCAGTGTTTTTGTATTGTGTGTGTGTCTGTGTGTCTGTTTTTGTTGCGTGTGTGCGTGTGTCTGTGTGCGTGTCGGTGCGTGTGTCTGTGTGTCTGTATTTTCGTTATGTGTGTGTGCGTGTGTCGCGATGGGTGTGATAGTGAGCGCGCTGCGCTACGAACCCGACCACCCGAGTTCGATTCCTGCTCGCGACACACCAACACCAGTAACGATTATCTGACTCGGTCATGGGCCTCCCCTAGGTCGACTCAACCTCAAATTAGTACCCGGTGCGTTATGTAAACATCGCCACTGGGAATACAAAGGCGGCCGGGTGTGGCGCGAGCCACCCCATCCTCTCGTGTGGCGTCCCGGCCTTCACAGGTGCTTCTCGCTAACCGCACTTGCCCCAAACGCCTGTCGAGGCTATACGGGGCCTCTTTGCCTTTGCGTGCGCCGCTCCCCATCGCGAGCCGCCACTGCCGCACGCGCCTCCCCGCCAGCGGCGATTTGGGCGACTCCGCGAGGGCCGAGCCGAGGGAGCGGCAGAGAGAGAGAGCGAGAGCACAGGGCGGGGGAGAGCGGGAGGGAGGGATACGGAGAGAAGGGAGATTTGTCTTTGTTTGGGTAGCCAGCGAGGACTGCGCGTGTGGTGGAGACTGTGAATATCTCCTGTGCAGGGCCAGATTAAGATTTTGTAGGCCCCTGGGCTACAGGCACTGTGAGCCCCCCCGGTAATATTCTCAAAGGAAGAACAAAGTTAAAGAAAACGAATGAATTTTTTTTTTCACAAGGCTAACAACAAATTAAATTCAGCGTTCACAAATGAAATCACTTTTCGCTTCATCCCTGGAGGCCCTCCGGCTGGTGGAGGCCCCTGGGGTGCAGCCCCTAAAGCCCCCCACGCCTTACTTAATCCGGCCCTGCTCCTGTGCGACGGTGAATTGTGAGATGGTGGACGGGCGAAACGTGGTGAAGACGGGAGAGAGAAAGAGAGAGATAGCGCGTGCCCGACCTGGGACGTGCCAATGGGTGATGGACTGAGTGAATGCGATGAGACTTTGCGCAAGCCTCCGACAAGGGAGTTGGCAACTTGCGGCTCTTTTAAGGACTCGCTCCGTGACGTCATTCATTAAGGACTCGCTCCGTGACGTCATTCATTAAGGACTCGCTCCGTGACGTCATTCATTAAGGACTCACTCCGTGATGGTCATTCATTAGGGACTCGCTCCGTGACGTCATTCATTAAGGACCACCACCGTTTCTCGTATTCACCGCACGGCGCATTGAGGCTCTTCAAATGTTTAGGCGTTTTTTGACCGAATTCGATGTTTTTGTTAATTTGTTGTTGTTGTTGTTTTGGTAGCCGGCCCCCGGGGGCTAAGACTTAACACTTTCGGGACCAGGTATCGAACCTGTCGATACGAACGAGATCGAGCATGATGCGTTGTGAATGCGTCGCCAAGTGCGAAGAAATATGAGCGTGCAGCGAATGTGTGAATGGCAAAGACTGCGTATGAGATTGTGACTCTGTGTACGGATAAGCCTTGTTCATGTGTAAGGCGGCGTGCATATGGATCGCTAAGACTTGCAATGTGAGCCTGAGTATGTAATGAGAGCGTGAAGTGGTTTCGTGAATGGTGATGTGGTTTAAGCGACTTAATGAATACATGAGATGCGAGAAATCGCGTATAAGGTTGAGATCGCATGGGGGAGACGTGAGTGCATGAAATTGTGAATGACATTTTGTGAATGGTCATGTGTGAGTGTGTGAATGTGTGGCTGAGAGGGTTGTGAATGGGAATGGTTCAGGCTAAAATGAATTGGTTTCTTTGTGAATGATAATACGTGCATTCCTAAGGCTGTGTATGAATCGGTGAAACTATAAACGTTTTATTTGAGCAGGTAAGACCCACTGAGCTATACAGCTCTCTTATTCAGAAGCGACCTGGCCACAGTTGATTGCTCAACGAAGTGACTTATCGTGTGGGCATTTGTAGCAGCCGGTTGGCTGTGTACGGTGCGGAAAAAGTTCAGCACACATACTTACAAACGCATGTTTATTCTAAATGTGCAGTGAAATACCAGAAGACCGGGGGACAAATCCACGCGACCGCGGCTAGAGAGAACATGCAAACTCTAAATATACAGCAGGCCATCAAACCCACAACCTCCTGTATAGCAGGCGAGGGCGATAACGTCTCGTCACCGTATAACCCCAATGTATTATGCTGAATATTTGAGAGTGTAAATAGATGATGATTGACGTGGTGGCTGTGGACTCGCTTCGGCTGTGTAAACGTCTGCATGCAACACTCTTGCCCAAGCAGACGTACAAAGCGACACACGATATGTGTGTGTGTCTCGTGATAAATAACTTTGATTAAAACCCGGCTGACCAAGTTAAACTCCAAACCACGGCTAACATCAGTGGCGAGTGATCTCTAAACCACTCCTGCCCTCCCCCCCCCACCACCCCCATTCAACCTCTTCACCAACCCACGCTGACCACAGTGGTGAAGTATGGTTAACCAAACAACCCCCACGAATCGAGGCCTTCATCCAGGCAGAGGTGTCAGATCACACCGACGCAAGGCGTTGAGAGAATGTTGCCCAAGCAACGCTTTTGAGTCGGGTGTCCTACACCTTTGCAATGGTGGCACGTTCAGTAGTTTCGAGCTGGTGGTCAGGATGGGATTTTTGGGGAAGTTTTGTGGGTGCAATGCTGCACGCCTTTGTGCGTTGTTACAATAACTCCCGCCCTGTACAGAGACTCGAGGCGCAGTGCCTGCCCCGAGTTATTTTTTTTTATTGTGCCAGGTAGGGCCCCACTGAAATCTAGAGCTCATTCTTTCAGAAGCGACTTGGCTTATCCTCTGAACGCGTGGTGATGTCGAAGGACCCGGAGAAAAATCCACGCGACCACGGGGAGAAAAAGACGCGCAAGCTCCAAATATACAGCAGCAGGCGTCAGGGTCGGGATCGAACCCACGGCCTCCTGTATACCAGGCGAGGTAGTCAACATCTCATAGCCACCGCGGCGTTTCCGTGGGATCGTCTACAGTTTCACGGGGTGCGCGACATCCATCTTCAAATCTGCAAGCGACCGAGAGACACCGTCCCAGCAGAATGAGTAGAGTGTGACATTCACAGGTCGATAACAATATAGATTTAATTTCAACTCGTAACGCGCAACCTCTGCACGGTGTTGGCTCCTCGCTCTCGAAGAGAGAGGTCGACTCAGAGGCACCAGGAGGAGGAAACCACGGACGAGCGGTGAGCCGGCGCCAAATTCCCCACTCCCTCTCCAAGCTCTGTGGGCCTCCATATATTGAGGTGTCGTCGGCCAATTAACAAACAGTGTTTACGTATAAAAAAGATACACGGAGCACGCGCGAGAACCCCGCGCGTGCGAGGGGACACCACTCTATTCCCACACGCACGGAACCAAAGGAGTCCACGTTCTACTGCGCTGCTTTCTACTGGCGAGCCGGAGTGCGGCACCTCCTCCATAGGCCACGGGAATGGGCGCTTCGCGTCGTCCGTGCGCGATCCACCAACCCCCGCCGCCGCTGCCATCCGCACGGCGCTGAGACTCGAGGCCGCGAGCGCCCTGCCTGGCTCTGGAGGCGCGCTCCGCACGCAGGCCCCCATCTCGCGGTTCGCCCCCCGGGTCCTGGGCCCTGTGCCGGAGTGCCACCGTCGAGTGGCCCCGTCCCCCTGGGCTCGCGGTGCGTGCTGCTCAGAGACCGGGGCGCTGCTTTGGGGCTGGGGTTGTGGGATTTTAAACAGGAGGGGAGAGAGAGAGAGAGAGCCTTGGTCGTGGAGCGAGCACGAGGCGACAACATCCACCGGACCGCTACAAGCGTTTTTTTTTGTAAATCGTACGCA